GTAAGTTTTTAGATGAGCATGTTGAGCATTTGCGACTTGTTTTAAGTGCCTTGCATGAAATAGGCTATTTGCTAACATGGAAAAATGTGTCTTTTGCACTCCTGAAGTTAACTTTCTTGGTATATTGTTGGTGCAAATGGCATAAGTGTTGATCCCGCCAAGGTAAAGGCCATCTTGGAGTGGCCGACTCCAACCAATGTGTCTAAGGTAAGGTCTTTCATGGTCTTGCAAGTTTCGATAGGAGATTTGTTAAAAACTTTAGTACTATTGCAGCACCTTTGAATGAGATATTTAAAAAGAATGTGGGGTTTCAATAGGGAAAAGAGCAAGAAGAGTCATTTCATAAGCTTAAGAATTTGTTAACTTCAGCACCTATTCTAGCTTTGCCTAATTTTGATTTGACGTTTGAAGTTGAATGTGATGCTAGTGGAATCAGCATAGGGCTGTCTTACATCAAAATAATAGACCCTTGGCATATTTCAGTGAGAAGTTGAGTGGGGGAGCTCTTAATTACCCTACTTATGATAAAGAATTGTACGCTGTTGTGCGTGCTCTTGAAGTATGGCAGCATTATCTTATGCCTAAGGAATTTGTGATACATATTGATCATGAATCAATTAAATTCCTTAAGGGTCAGGGTAAGTTGCATAAAAGACATGCGAAATGAATTGCATTTATTGATTCCTTTCCATATATCATTAAGTATAAGAAGGGAAAGATAATGTCGTTGCGGATGCATTGTCTAGGAGGTATATCTTGATCACTAAGTTACTTGGTTTTGAGCACATTAAAGACTTGTATGCACATGATGACGATTTTTCTAATATGTTTCAAGCTTGTGAACATGCTGCATTTCAAAAGTTCTATAGGCATGAAGGTTTCTTGTTAAAAAAAATTGCCTATGTATTCCCAACTGTTCACTTAGGGAATTACTTGTTAGAGAAGCCCATGGCGGAGGATTGATGGGACATTTCGATATTGATAAAACTCTTGACATTTTGCATGCACACTTCTATTGGCCTAAAATGAGGCGTGACATTGCTAACATTCGTGATAAGTGTTTAAAGTGTAAGCAGGCAAAGTCAAGGCGTAACCCTCATGGATTGTATACTCCTCTACCCGTACCTCATGCTCCTTGGACAGATTTATCCATGAATTTTGCGCTTAATTTACCAAGATCTACTAAAGGTATGGATAGTATCTTTGTTGTAGTGGATAGATATTCTAAAATGACTCATTTTATCCCTTGTAGGAAAACAAATGATGCGCGCCATGTTGCTGATTTATTCTTCAAGGACGTGGTTAGATTGCATGGGGTACCGCATACTATTGTAAGTGATAGGGATGTGAAATTCTTAAGCTATTTCTAGAAATCACTTTGGGGAAAGTTGGGCACTAAGTTGCTGTTTTCTACTTCTAGTCATTCTCAAACGGATGGTCAGACTGAGGTAACCAATCGAACCCTTGGTGCTTTACTTCGAGCCATTGTTCAAAAGAACTTGAAAAAGTGGGAAGAATGTTTGCCTATTGCCGAGTTTGCATATAACCGAACCACTCATTCTACTACTAACCATTCTCCTTTTGAAATTGTTTATGGGTTTCAGCCGCTAACCCCTCTAGATTTATCACCTATTCCTGTTGATGAGTGTTTAAGCGCAGATGGCGTCAAAAGGCAGAGGCTATTCGGACCTTGCATGAGAGAGTTCGAGCTCAAATTGAGAAGAAAAATGCGCAATATGCACAACATGCGAATAAGGGTAGAAAGCATGTTGTATTCGAACCTGGTGATTGGGTTTGGATACACATGAGGAAGAAAAGGTTTCCAACATCTCGACGGACCAAGTTGCATCCCAGAGGAGATGGACCTTTTCGTGTCCTAGAGAGGTTAAACGACAATGCCTACAAATTGGAACTTCCAAGTGAGTATGGCATAAGAGCATCTTTTAATGTGTCTGACCTATCCCCTTTTGATTTTGATACAGACTTTGAAGATTCGAGAATGAATCCTTTTGAGGAGAGAGGGAATTATGACAGCCCCACCTCTTCCTAGGGCGAACCCTAGGGTATCAGCGGACTGCCTGCCCAACTCTCGCCGGGGCTCAATCGATCAAAGAACTAGCAACTCAAAATAACTGGGGAAAAACTTCAAATTAAATCGTACAACCCTAATAACATATAACCGTCAATCAACTTTCCAAACTTAATACGGTAAGCTAAGAGTCACACTTACCATTCCATACTACAATTACAAAACATAAGTCAAACTTATAAATTCAAGCTTACAAAAGTAAGAGGTAAAGTCATCTTAACAAAAGGTTACAAGCTCAAGCAAAACAAAGCTAAGAAAGCTCTCGACCGTTAGTCCATCCCCGATCTATTAAGGAAAACAAAAGGAGTGGGGTGAGTTAAAGCTCAATGAGGTTCCAAGTAAAGCAAGTAAACACATAGCCAAATTAAGGCATAAAATAATCAAATAAATACCGTGTGATACAATAACAATTAACCACAGTTCAATTCAAGGATACGGGTGGCTTTCAAAAGCCAAAATCCCTTGAGCTTGATCATAAATGTCTCCGTTGACTTTCCATCAACACTTGTATACACAGAATATCAAGTCCGTAGAACACCACTTTCACCTGCCTCCATCCACCAATCAACCCCCCACCGGGCCCGCACTCCATAAACAGTAGTTAGGTAATACTTGAGTATACCAGTTTCAGTGAACAATAAACAGTCCTCAAGGTTTATCGGTTTTCTCGACCAAGCCCTTGCTGGCTCGATACGGCCAACTCACCTGTGAGGCTGGGTACCCAAACAGTAACAGTAGTCGGTGGAATATCCTCCACGCAACTTAAGCACAGTCACATATAGCAGTATTTCATCCCATGGTAATTCATTCAATAAATAGGGTCTCAGTAAACAACAAGGAAGGTCGAGTATGATGAAGTACACACTCGCCTCAATTTTTTAAAACGGTGTTTGGCTCAAGCAACATCAATTTGATAATTTCAAGTACACAATATTTCACATAACAAGCAACAGGTAGTGGAACACTCACCTGTCAAGCAAAAGTAACGATCGATGTCAAATGTCTTAGTTATGACCACCTTCGTTTCCCAAACCTAGGCAACGAGTAAAATCGTTAACAATTAGATTCATGCCCCACTAGGTTAGGCTCATTAAGAAACCAAGTGAGTAGTCTAAGCTACTTAATCCGTCATGCAAACAAGGTCCAAACCATGGTAAAAGTTCATGAGAAAACAAGTTTAGTAGATGCATGAAATTTCGGCAAAGAAAAGTTCCAATCGGGCTTACGGGTTCTTCTCGGGTGCACAGTCTTGCCCTGGCAGTCTTAGGAAAACGGTCATAACTCACTGTAGAAAAATCGAAATTACGTACCGTCAGTGGCGTTGGAAACTAGACTCGAAGGGCTTTCCAATGGTACCAAGCTCACACTGTGGTTCATCTCCTATCAATAACAGTAACTCAGACAATGTGGTATTTTTCCAACCCTGGATCAGCATTAACCTCATACTATACTACTCTAGTTCTAGGGCTAACTTCATTAGTTTTGATCCAAATTCACCCAATTCACTCCTCAAGTAATCTTATACAAGGATTCAAGTCACCTAGAATCAAGGGAATTTACAACATAACATACAACATGATTTAAGGCAGCCACAATGATCTCATTACTACAAAATCCTAAAACAGTCTACTAATGGTTCAAAACACCACTTTACTTGCTTCAATTCCATTCCAACTTACTTATGGGCTTAACCAATAGTTAACCTAGTTTATTAGGCTTGATTAGGGCATAATTTAACAACAAAATTGAGGGAAAACCCCTCCTACAAGAACCGGTCAGCCAAGACAAAACACAACCAGCCCACTCTTTTCAACACTTGTTCAACCTTCATCCTTACATGTTTTCACCCAAATCATCATATCAAGTGATAGATCTAGCTCAAAAGAGGTTTTAAAACATAATAATACCTCATCAACAAACATGAATAAGATTCAAACATTTCATCAAACACTTGGTGTGCATACTAAGAAACCTAGCTACTAGTTTAATTCAAGAAACTAACCTCACACCTCAACCAACCAACTTGTATCTTTGCTATTAACACTTCAAGTGCATGATCTATCATCAAAAATCAAGATTTAAAGAACATGTACCTCTCTTGTGGTGAGCTTGAACCACCAAAGTAAGTCTTCAAGCTTGAAGAAAACACTTAGAGTTGGAAGAACTCTCTTACTAACTCAAATCTTTCTCTTTTGATTGTTGTTCTTGATTTGTTAGGGTAAGAAAGCAAGGTTATGGAGCTCACTCACTCTCTCTCTTGAGGCTAAGAAATTCGGCCAACACAAAGAAAAAGAAAGGCTTTGGCTAGTTTAAATAATCTTCAAATCTTGGGTCTAACAAGATACTTGGCTAGGGCTTTGCCACATGTCCACTTACTTGTCCAATTCTTTCCTAATCTTTGACTAATGGTGTCTTAACCTTTCCAAATGTACCAATACTTAACTAGCACCTATAATCCTACATGTAAGGTCTCTACTACTAATATAAAGACACTTGGTAAAATGCAAGTGGTGTATTAATTAAAATCAACTCAAGAAAAATGTTTTACTTCAAGTAAAAAGGAATGAAGTGTAATGCATGAAAATTATTGTAACACCTAGAAAAGCTAATGTAAGGGCATATAATATATGATTTAAATCCTAGAATAAGACAATTAATTTGGGAAAATTGTGCTTTAAAAAAATGAGGGTTCTCACACTCTCTCCCCCTTAAAGAACTTCGTCTCGAAATTCTCACCTTGATCACTGAATAGCTTAGGGTATTTGGCGCGAATGTCCTCTTCCACTTCCCAAGTAGCTTCCTCTACCTCATGGTTTATCCACAAAACCTTTACCAAGGGTATCTGCTTAGTCCTCAATTCCTTCACTTTTCGATCTAAGATTTGCACTGGCCTTTCCTCGTAGGTTAAAGATTAATCAATGTCAATTTCCTCTGGCTTCAATATAGGAGTGGGATCTGGATGATACTTTTTCAACATGGACACGTGAAATACATCATGAACCCTGGATAGACTTGTTGGTAACTCCAATCGATATGCCACGTTTCCAACTCGTTGAAGATTTTGAACGGTCCTACGTATCTTGGATGACGCTTCTTTCCTTTTCCTGCCGTGAGACTTTGAAGTGGCGTAACCTTCAGGAATACCTTGTCCCCAACCTCAAACTCCAAGTTCTTTCGTCGATTATCAGCGTAACTCTTTTGTCGACTTTGCGCTGTCTGAAGCCTCTGACGTATCACTTTCAATTTCTCATACGCATCCTCGATCCATGGTACTGCAACTGGGTCTAAAACTCTTCTCTTTCCTACTTCATCCCAAAATATTGGTGATCGGCACTTTCTTCCATAGAGAGCTTCATACGGTGCCATTTGTATTGAAGAATGGTAACTATTATTGTATTCAAATTCAACCAGAGCCATGTATTGTCCCCAACTTCCACCAAAATCTAGAATACAGGTCCTCAACATGTCTTCAAGTGTCTGAATGGTCCTCTCCGATTGTCCATCAGTTTGGGGATGATAGGTAGTACTAAAATTCAACTTGGTTCCTAAGGTTCCTTGTAATTGTTGCCAAAAACGAGACACAAATCATGGGTCTCTATCAGACACAATGCTTACAGGGATCCCATGTAACCTCACAATCTCATCCATGTAAAGTTGGACCAATTTCTCCATAGAATATTTCATATTTACAGGTAAGAAATGAGCAGACTTGGTCAACCTGTCTACTATTACCCAAACGGCGTCGTGACCTTTCTGGGTACGGGGTAACCCTGATACAAAATCCATAGTAATATGTTCCCATTTCCACTCAGGAATCTACAGAGGTTGCAGAAGACCTGAGGGCTTTTGATGCTTAGCTTTCACTTATTGGCACACCAAACCTTTTTGGACAAACTGAGCAATTTCCTTCTTCATCTTATCCCACCAATAGAGCCTTTTCAATTCTTGGTACATTTTATTACTTCCAGGATGCACTGTATACTTGGACCGATGTGCCTCTTCCAAAATATCCTTTTTTATCACTTCATCTTGTGGTACCACTATTCGATCTCGAAATTTCAAGATACCTTCGGAACTCATGTTAAAGTCTTGTAACTCCCTTTTCTCTTCTCCTGTCCACTTTTGCACCATCCGGTCAATCCTTTGAGCCTCTTTAATGCGGTCCAACAAATCAGATCTTATTGTAATATTGCAGAAAATTACCTTCTGTCGGTCTAATTGCGGGTTCCATGCACTCACTTCCTCCAACAAATTCCATTCCTTAACCATCAATCCAGCTATTTGCACTTGTCGGCTTTAAAGCGTCCGCTACAACATTGGCCTTGCCTGGGTGATAGTTAATTGTACAGTCATAATCCTCAAGAAATTCCACCCACCGACACTGTCTCAAGTTTAACTCCTTCTGAGAGAATAGGTATTTCAAACTCTTATGGTCGGTATACACCTCAAAAGTCACTCCATATAAGTAATGCCTCCACTTCTTTAATGCAAAAACTACAGCGGCCAATTCTAAGTCATGAGTGGGGTAATTTCGCTCATGGGGTTTTAACTTCCTAGAGGCATAGGCAATTACACTCCCATTTTGCATTACAACACATCCCAAACCTTCCCTTGAGGCATCCGTATATACAGTAAAACTATCTCTCCCATTTGGTAAAGCTAAAACAGGTGCCGACGTTAACCGTTTCTTCAACTTCCCGAAAACTAGATTCACACTTAGAATTCCAGACAAATTGACCATGCTTTTGGTCAAGTCGGTTAAAGGACCGGCTAACTTGGAGAAATCTTTGATAAACCGACGGTAATACCCGGCTAAACCTAGAAAACTACGGACCTCAGTCGGGGTTTCCGGGTGTTTCCACTCAGCTACAGCCTCCACTTTCACTGGATCCACAGAAATTCCATCTTTAGATATTATATGCCCTAGAAAAGAAATTTGCTCCAACCAAAACTCGCATTTGCTAAACTTGGCAAATAACTGATGTTCCCTTAAAGTCTGCAAAACTATCCTCAAATGCCGTTCGTGTTCCTCTCGAGTCTTGGAATACACCAAAATATCATCGATAAATACTACAACAAATTGATCCAAGTAGGGTTTAAAGACTCGATGCATTAAATCCATAAATGCAGCAGGGGCATTTGTTAAACCAAAGGCATCACAGCGAACTCAAAATGACCATATCTGGAATTAAAGGCAGTCTTCGGTATATCCTTTGCCTAATTCGTAACTGGTAGTAGCCTTGCCTCAAGTCCAACTTAGAGAAAACTACTGCCCTTGTAGTTGGTCAAACAATTCATCAATGTGTGGCAAGGGATATTTATTTTTCACCGTAACATCATTTAGCCACGATAGTCAATGCACAGTCTTAAACTACCATCCTTTTTCTTAACAAATAATACCGGCTGCCCCACGGTGACTCACTTTCTCGAACAAACCCTCGCTCTAACAGATCTTGCAACTGCAGTTTCAACTCCTTAAGTTCGGCGGGGGCCATTCGGTATGGCGTTTTTGCAATGGGAGCAGTTCCAGGTACTAAATCGATCTTAAATTCTATTTCCCTTTCTGGTGGCATCGATTTCAACTCATCGGGAAAGACATCAGGAAATTCATTCACTACTAAAACATCCTCCAGTTTCACTTTATCTCCAGGAGTATTAATTAAGAAGGCTAAGTAGCCTTGCGCCCCCTTACTCAACAACTTTCTGGCTCGGATTCCCGAAACAAGTGCAGACGAGGCTAACCTACCTCTCACGTCCAACCTTAAAGTTGCCTCTCCGGGTATCGAGAATTCCACCACCTTTGTTTTACAGTTCAATTGGGCGTTATAACGGGCCAACAAATCCATGCCTATAATTACATCGTACCCTTAAGGTCTAAACTTATCAAGTCACCCACTAACTTCCGTTCTCCTACCCAAATCTCGCAATTTTTATAGACCATATTGGTAATTAGGCTTTGATCCCAGTAGGTGTTTTAACTTCTAAATCATATGGCAACTTAACAGGGTTCACAGCAATACCACACATAAAGGCAGGATTCACAAAAGAATGGGTTGCCCCAGGGTCAATCAAAAGTTTAGCTAAGCGGTGGAATATAGGGATCGTACCTTCCACTACTTCCGAGGAATCCGGAACTCGCCGTGGTCCAAAGCAAAAACCCTAGCAGAGGTTTTAGGTCGACTAGCACTGGCGGTAGGTTGCTTAGGGTTTGACTTTTCCGACTGGTACCCCGTTCCCGTCACGATTCTTAACAGGGCAAGTGGCAATCTGGTGTTCAGAACTTCCACAAACAAGGCACTTTTTCAACTTTTTCCAGCAATTGTCTTCGGTATGATTTGGCTTACCACAATATCCACAGCTTACACGTGTGGTGGGTGCGGGAACTCCTTGGGAGAAGTTCTCTGTTGTCCCTGTCCCCTTCCACTTTGAGCTCCTCTAGATGAAGCTCCACCTCTTGTGTCCCCGCAATTCGGGCTCCACTCGCACCCTTCCAAACTTCGGAGGTGGCACATTCTGATCACTTCGGCCAGGAGTACTAGATGCACCACGCCTCTTTAGCCTGAAAGGTCCGAACTTGAGATCGGGCCTGCTCCACACGTTGAGCCTTTTCAAGCGCATCTTAAAGGTGTCAATTTGAGCGGCAGCTAAATCCTTTTGGATTTCTACATTCAAACCTTGTATAAACCGCCTTATACGCTTTTGTTCACTTACTACCAATTCTGGGCAAACTTGGAAAGTCGGGTGAACTGCGTCTCATACTCTGCCACACTTGAAGTGCCTTGGCGCAGTTTAATGAACTCATCCTCCCTTTTCTCCTGAATTAAGGGTGGAAGGAATTTCTCATTGAATTCCCTCGTGAAGTTTAACCAGTACGTGGGGTTTGCTCCCTTTCCCACTTGGCCCTTACTACGTTCCACCAGGAACGGGCCGCGCCTTCCAGCTGGAAAACGGCAAGGTAACTTGCCTCTCTTCAGAGTAATGCAACGCGGCGAATATATCCTCCATTCGCTCGAACCAATTCTCGGCAACTTCAGGTTCAGGTCCTCCAAGAAATTTTGGAGGAGCAAACTTTTGAAACCGCTCCAGGGCCCTATCCTCGCCTACTTCGGGTCCCTTTGTTGGTTACCAGGTACTTGACCCTGCTGGTCAACCAAGCGGGCCAACAAATCAGTCATTCGATTAATAGCTGTTGCTACTTGGTCCCCTCCATCACCTCGGGGTTCCTGGTTTTGATTCGCCACCGAACCTTGTTCCTCCCCTTGATCTTGGACTTGCCTGGGTTCTCGTCCACGGCCCCGAGTACGTCTTTGTCTCGTCTCCATATTACTCAGTGGCCTAGTGCCCAAGTATGATAACTAATCGGGTAAGCAATATGATAAACGATAGATGCTTATGTATAATGAAAAGTCAAATAAGAAATGAAAATCGGAAAACGATAAGCAAGTGAAATGCACCGCAGTTAAAATTAATGACGGAATAAAGTCAAAGTCAAAGTCAACAGTCAACAGTCCAAAGATCAAGGTCAACAGTCAAAGTATTATACATTAAAAGGCTCATAGCAGTCATTTACAAGATAACGAGACCAAAATAGCAAGTACGAGCCCAAAAGTACAGATATAGTCATATCAAGCAAAACCTAACACAAGTAGTCAAAAGGAGCTATACAACCACCAGGTCACCACATCCCCTAACCTGTCTATGTACAAGTCAAAATCATCCACTATCCTAGCCTAATGGTGAAGGCCTAGTCCGTGGCGGACTAGCTGACCCCCACCCAGTAGGTTCCTCTCCGGAACCAATACCATATAAGAAGCCTCATCGCTTGCTTCTCCTAGAGATCGTCACAAACATTCAGAATGGACTCCGCCTAGTCCTCACCTTCATTGTCCTAGTACCATGCGTTCTGAGTTTCCTCCAACTGTGCGCAAAGATCGTCAATCCTCCTTGGCCCTCAACATTCATACTCGAGCTCCTTAATCCGCTCGGCTTGCATCTTATTGGCTTCCTTTAGTTGCTTCACTTCGGCTTCAAGCCTAGCATTATCCCTGGCAAGCTCCTTACGCTCTTTTACCACCGCCAACACTACTTCATTAGGGTAGCATAAGTATGACGGCACTCGCAACGCCTATAGCGGTTTGACGGGCTCCAATAAACTCTAGATCCTCCAGGCCGGATTTGAACTTAATCATGGGAGCTCCTTGGGCTTCTCACCAACAGGACTATCACTATGGCCGCTAGGTCCGTCCATCCTACACAAAAGTGTAGATAAACTTTAGTACTCTTAAGGGAATTAATCAAATATAATCCTCAAGTCGGAAATTTCTAATTCGCCCGGCTAATTCAAACCTAGGCTCTGATACCAACTGTGACAGCCCACCTCTCCCTAGGCGAACCTAGGGTATCAGCGGACTGCCTGC